CTCAGAGTTTTGACTGGTGATGGTGTAAAAATTGTTGGCGAAACTGATGTTTTTGTCAGAAAAAACAATCAAATAGTGAATTTGCCTATAGTAGTAATTGATAGCAGTCATAAATTTACACCATTACTTGGTCGAAATTGGTTAAATGTACTAAACCTAAACTGGCGTCAAAAATTCTTAACTGAAAATGTCTGTAATTCTAAATCTATGTCAGAGTCATGTCAGTCAGTTGATGCTTGTCAGCTGGAACTGAATAAAACTGAAAATCCAATGCCTAAGAAGGCAGTGGTTGAAGTCAGTAATGAGTCTAAATTATTGTCCCAAAATGTTTCAAATAATGTCAATGAGTCAGAGTTTCTAAAAGTCGAGTCAAAAATTCAACATTTAATTTCAAGCATTGAAAATTATTTTCTCGGTGTGTTTGATGATAATACAGAGTCTTCTATCTAGAAGGAGCTCAACCAGTATTCCACAGAGCATATAATATGCCATACTCTTTAAAAAATAAAGTCGAGTCTGAAATTCAAAAAATGTGTGTATCTGGTATACTAAAAAAAATAAGTTTTAGTAATTGGGCAAGTCCGATCGTAGTTGTCCCGAAGAAAAATTCTTCTGATATCAGAATTTGTGTCGATTTCAAAAAAACCTTGAACCCAGCCCTCAATGCTGATCATTGCGTTTTACCACTTTCAGAAGACATTTTTGCTTGTTTGTCTGGAAATAAGTATTTTTCTGTCATCGATTTGAAAGTAGCGATAAGTCTCAGGAATTATTGGTCATTAACACTCATCTTGGACTTTTTGCGTACACAAGAATGACTTACGGAATAAGTTCAGCTCCTGGAATCTTTCAAACGATCATGGATAGTATTCTTGCAGGTTCAAAGAACACCAAATGTTATTTGGATGGCATACTGGTCTACGGTTCTACCTTGCAAGAATGCTATGAAAACGTCATTAATGTCTTCAAGAAACTCGATCAATATAATGACAAAGTCAATCAGTCAAAGTGTAAGTTTTTTAAGTCTAGTGTTGAATTTTTGGGGCATTTAGTAGATTTTTATGGTGTTCATCCAACAGAAGAGAAAGTCAAGGCTTTAAGATCAGCTCGTTCTCCGAACAATGTCACTGAGCTGAAATCTTACCTTGGACTACTACTACATCAAGTTTGTACCTACCTATGCTTTCATCAAAATTGAAACCCCTGTACGATCTATGCAAGCCAGGCATCAAATTTTCTACTAACTGGTCTGGAGTGTGAAGAAATATTTCAAATTAGCAAAGATTATCTAACATCTGACAATGTTTTAACACATTATGACCCCAAATTACCTATCTATGTCACATGTGATTCGAGCGGTTACGGAGTTGGGGCTGTACTGAGTCACATTGTTGAGGGAGAGGAACGACCTGTCATGTTTGCTTCAAGTACTCTCACTCCTACAGAGCAAAAATACAGCAACTTAGAGCGTGAAGCGTTGGCTTTGATCTTCGCAGTTAAGAAATTCCACAAATATTTATATGGGCGTAAATTTACACTTATTTCTGACCATTAACCACTTCAATTCATTTTTGCAAAGAACAAAAATATACCTACAACAGCTGCTTCAAGAGCCCGATGGGCAATTACACTATCTGGCTATCAATATGATATCATATATAAAAAAGGGAAATCCGTAAGCAATGCTGATGGTTTGTCACGTTTACCTTTGTCTGGTCAAACTGAGATTCCTGATTTCATTTATTCTTTTAATTTGGTCAACGAAATTCCTTTAAATGTTGATGACATTAGGAAAGCTTCACAAAAAGATCCACTATTTCTGAAATTAAATGACTTCATTTTGTCAGGATGGCCAAGTACTGAAAAATTAAAACCATTCTTCAAGCACAGAAATGATTTATCTATAGAACAAAATTGTATTTTATTTGGCAATAGAGTTGTTATTCCAGCTGTATTAAGACCTGAAATCCTTAAACTCTTCCATGAGCAACATTCTGGTATTGTTCGTACCAAAATGTTGATTCGATCCTACTGCTGGTGGCCAAATATCAATAATGATGTAGAAAAATGTATTGCTTCATGTGAAATTTGTCAAAAATTCCAAAATTTTACCAATAGTAGTCCTCTTTTATCTTGGCCAGAAGCACCTCATAATTTTTATAGAATATTTATAGATTTTTTTAAGAAGTTCAATTATACATTTTTACTTGTCTAAGACCAAAAATCGAAATGGCTTGAAGTGAAATTAATGGACCAGAGCACCGTTGCTTCGGAAACTATCTCGAAATTGAAAGAGATTTTTTCTATTTTTGGTCTGCCTGTAGAATTGGTCTCTGATAATGGTCCACCCTATAACTCAGTCGAATTTGTTTCTTTTTGTCAAGCAAATGGGATAACACCAATTAAATCTCCTCCATGGCATCCGCCTAGTAATGGTTTTGCAGAAAGGGGAGTTCAAACAGTTAAAAAAGATCTAAGAAAAGCGTTATTCTCAGAAGGAGAGAATATCACAGAACAACAAATTTTATTAAAATTATCAAGTTTCTTGTTCTCTTATCGAAACACACCAACCACAAGTAATGGTATTTCACCAGCTGAATGCATGCTGAAACTGAGACCAAGAACCAGATTTGACTTGCTAAAACCTTCTGGTCATAGTAGACATGTTAAGGGTAGTTCTGATAATATTCCTAGAGTAAAGAAATTGTATAAACTTAACGAATCAGTTTATGTGAAAAATAAACAAACCAAGCTTTGGCAGAAAGGCAAAATTGTAAAGGTTTTAAGTTTTTGTACATATTTGGTACAAGTTGACATGCTCATCAAATTTGTTCATGCAGATTCTTTGCGTTCTGATTTAGGCTTGACTGTTTCAACATATAATAATGATGTTAGTGATGTAAGTGTTATACCCAATGATGTTTATTGTGGTGCACAGGCTTATGTTCCCCAAACCAATGTTTTATCCGAAGTTTCACCCCAACCAGTGCCATCACAGTTACCTAAAATTATTAAACCATCAAGTGCTTCTGAGATCAAGTTCAGTCCTAAAAGTTTCTCACAAGCAACAGGAAATCCTGAAGAAGTTCCACAAGTGATTCCTAAAAGTGTAACTCCAACGAAAGTCTTCCGCTATGGTAGAGTTATAAAACCCACTTACAAGCCTAACCTTTAAGAAGGGGAGAATTGTTGTGAGTCTAGCTTTAGTGATAAGGGATGTGAAGGAATGACAGTGATAGTCTGTCTTCCACGGGTCTCGAGTAAGCACGTTGTAATCGTTAATTTATGTTTTGCATTCTTATTAAAAGTGTCAATCAAAACCGTCTTGTTATATTTAAATACATAACAGACCTAAAATCGGCAATAGAAATTCAACAACAGTTACTCAATATGTTGCAATCCGTTGGTTTTAATGGAAAATGGACCAGTGACAATTCAGCCCTGTTTCAAGCCCTTCCCAAACCTCAACAAAACCAAACCGTCCAAGAGTTATCCGAAGATGACATCCAAAAACCACTTGGTGTATTTTGGTCGCCTTATAATGACAACTTCATGTTTAAAGTTACCATATCACCCGAAAATCTAATAACAAAAAGACACATCCTATGAGAGACATCAATAATTTTCGATCCTTTAGGATGGTTATCACCTCAGAGATCAAAAGTAGGTACTTATTTTAAGACTAATGGCTAGAAAGTCTAGAAAGATTGGGATGGGATGAGAAAATAGAAGGTGAACTAGCAGACAGATGGTAAAAAGGACATAGATAAAGTCAAAGATATCAAAATTCCAAGATATTTACCATTCAGTCAAGGAAACCAAATTCAACTTCACGGATTCTTCTACGCCTCTGAAAAGGCCTACATGGAGCTGTGATCTACAGCCGAATAATGACGACTGAAGAGAATATAGCTGACACACTTCTCTGGGCAAAATCTAAATAAGTAGCTCCAGTGAAACTTAGAACAACGCTACCAAGACTTGAACTCTGTACAGTACACTTATCAGCGAAAATGATAAACTATTTCGACACTAGAGATAGAGAATATCGAAACTTTCGCATGGAGTGACTCCATGATAACGTTATGCTGGATAAAATGCCAGCCCAATCGATGGAAAAAATTTGTCGCCAATCGCGTGAGTGATAAAAATTTATAGGTACTTGAACAGCAGACCCTGGAACCACGTGAGGAAACCTGAAAATCCAGCACATGTTATATCCAGAGGGTCCAATCCAGAACAATTAGCAAACAAACAACTCCTACTGGACATATGGAAGAAACTGTTGGATTTCTGATAAACCTCATTTCCAATCAATATTTGATAATGTCAATAATTTAAATCCTGGGTTCTATTGGAGATAAATTAAATAAAACTCATATAATCACTATTCTAACATTTATTTTCAAATATAATGTGTAGAGGTATAAGATATATCTTCCGTATACATCGATTAATAACCATTAAGTATCCAAAATTGTTATATTTGTATATAAGAAATGAAAAATAATTCAGATTTTTTCAGAAGTGATGCTTTACCAAGATCAGAAACTAGTTTCTGATGTGATAGATGTTTTAAAAATCAGTCTTTATTCGTTGACACCAGTTCAGAATAAATAATTACATTGTACATCAATAAATAAGTATATTTTAATCTAACTAGGTACCTAAATTATATACAAAATACAAATAAATTAAAAGACAAATGCATTTTGCAAATATTACGAGCTTACCTAAAGTAATATCACAGATTTTTACACAAATGCAGTTTGGATCTTTGATATTTTGTGAACAATTATTATGGTGTAAACATTTATTTTTTTTTGCATTTTATCTACCTATATTAAAATTAAAGTTTACTAGATTTTTTTCAACCCCTGTAATAATTTATAGACCCCTAGAATAGGTTTTTTTTCTCCAAAAAAAAAAAACTCTAGGGTTCCCCTTAGTTATGCTAATTTGTAAAAGGAACAATATTAAAATTAACCCAACAAGAACATTTAAGTCTTATCGTGTACCAAAGCCACCACAATGGCAGTATGGGCCTTATTAATGGACGTCACCATATCCGATCTTCTTTTGGTAGTGTTATTTGTGAGCACCTCTGAAATGGTACTACTTTTGGTTGTAGAATTGCGAGGTTTTCGTCTCTTTTGAATTTTGCACCATTTAAATGGGGCAATTTTCCTGTGGATGAATAAAAACAATCACCATATGATGCATTATGTTTTATGTACTAAGACTTACCCAAGTACTTTGCAAAAATGCGTAGAAAATATACAATAAATAATAGGATTAGCTGCCGAATTCAAAGGGGCTAGACTTTGTATGAAAGAGGCTATAGCTGTATTGGTTTGCGTTGGAGGTATATACCCAAAAACTTGTAGCAAATCAAATATTATATAAGGACTCCAGCACACTATAAAAACTATAAAAATATAATAGAATATAATTCTGTTTCTCAAAACAATTTATTACCAGAAACAATAACCAAAGTGATTTTAATCGTCTTAACTTTGGCTCTAGGTATGAGGCCTCTAGAAGAAGCTCTTCTATCGCCATCTGATCCTATGCGTTCATTGAAACTGTCTTTGCGGCCTCTAAACACAGGAAATTGAGCCGAACTTTTTGACCAAATAGTTTTAATCATTACAGCGTAGCAGGCCGTTATAATTAGAGCCGGAATTACGAATAGAGCCAAAGAAATCAGCACCATATAGAGCTGCCATTGCCATTGCTCATCAAAGTCGATCCAGCATTGTTTTTGATCTAAAAAAAAATATTTTTATAGTTTTGTCTTTGTTCTATTAAAAGTCCTCTTCATTTAAAATAATCAAGCTTTGATGAAGTTTACATGGTTTCGAGCAGAGTTAATTTGTTCGTTGAAATTCTCTAAAAGTGAGCCAGAGTTTCTCTGTAAATATTAAATTAAAACAGTCACTTGCAAATATAATAAAACTTGTTCATTTTTATTATAAAATATTTTGTTTGTTTTCAATATACCTTGGACAATTTTTTCTTCGTACAAAAATAGCATCGGAATTGAGAATAGAGCGCTCACACCCCAGGCGAGGATTATCAAAATTTTGGCTCTCCTCCCTTAAAAAAAAACGTATTTGTAATAAGAATTTAGTAGTTATTGAAATTTACTTACAGCTTCCTGAAAATTTCATCGGATGTCGGATGGCATCGTATCTGTCGATGCTGAGCGAAACTAGGACGTAAGTTGACGCATAGGTAACTAAAGCCTAAAAAAAAACATCTTTAGTTCAAAAATCATGTAGCTTAGAAAAAAGTCTTAAAAGTGGAGTTGGAGTAGAAACCATTTTTGAATAAATGAATGCGTTTTTTGCAAACAATATGATGAAAATTTCAAAATTATATTTTAACTTTGAATAGGTACAAATGAGTTAGTTCAATCAAACGGTATTTTAAAGTGAAAAGTTCTGGTGTAATTGTTTTTAATGGTTTATTTTCTGCAGAATTTCTTTAATATTTATGAGGTCTTGAGCATAAGCAGCCGTTGCCACGTAATCCGCTTCTGCGGTCCACAATAAAATAATTCTGCTTCTTTGAGAACCAAGATATAAGTATATCATACAGTCGTTTACACTCTTTCTGTCACTTTTATCTGTTGCCCAATCTCTTATTTTTATAGTAATTCAAATATTTTTCTTTGGTTTCTTGTAAATTGCGTAGAATTATTTCTCCGGCGATACAGTTGGTGTATCTAAGAATCTGTTTAAATGGGAAACTGAAAATGTTATATCTGGTCTGGTTGTTGTTGGTAAATACATCAATTCTCCAATGTCATAAATAGGTTATTACTATTATTAAGTATTGATTGTCCTTTCTATGACTATGAAGTGAACGAAATAGAGGGAATGGAAACTTTTAAAATTGTAGAACTGAATTCGCCTTGCATTATCGTACTAGAATTTATAGAAAAATACAAGTAAAAAGAGTAAAAATTAGTTCAATACAGGACAAAATACAAGACAAAAACTTACAAAATGAAATTTAAAAATTGATCCATGATAATAAAGACTTGTTTGAAAGTGTTGGCGAAATAAAAAATGTTACTTACAAAATAAAAATTAAACCAGATACACAGCCAGTAGTTGAAGTATCCGGAAAAATACCATTGGGAATATAAGATAAACTTGAGGAAGAACTAGACAAAATCCAGAAAATGGAAATCATTAAAAAAGTCAGTCAACTTACAGAATGGGTGAATTCAATGGTGGTGGTAAAAAAACCTGATAATTCTTTAAAAATATGTTTAGATCACCAAAATTTGAATAGAAATATTTTTCGTGAACGATATGATTTACCAACGTTCGAACAAGTGGTATCAAAGACCTAAAATATTTACAACCCTTGATGCGAATAAAGGATTCTACCAAATTAAGCTGGATAACCATAGTCAACTTTTAACAATATTTAATGCGGGTAAATTTGGCAGTTATTATTATAAGAGAACGCCATTTGGCTTTTGCACAGCACCTGAAGTGTTCCAACGAACTTTTGTTGAGATTTTTGGAGACTTACCTGGCGTACAAGTTTATAAAGATGACATTTTAATCTATAGTGAAAGCGAAGAAGATCATTGATTGAAGTACTTGATAGAGCAAGAAGTTTTAATGTAAAGTTTAACAAAAGCAAATGCAAGTTTGGAGTAAGAGGGGTGAAATATTTGGGACATGTTTTGAGTGCGGAAGGACTGAAACCTGATAATAACAATGTGCAAGCTATTCCGGATCTTGAGGTACCAAAAAATAAAAAAGAACCAGAGACCATTTTAGGTATGATAACTTATAGTATTTCAAAATTTTTGCCTAATGTTTCTCAAGTTACTGATTTAATGAGACAACTTTTAAAGAAAAACATTGAATTTTCATGGACTGAAAATCATACTAGTGATTTCTCAAAACTATAAGAAATATTAAAAAAGCTCCCATTTTGACATAGAAAAACCTGTTGTTTTATCAGTAGATAGTAGTAGTGTAGGATTAGGTGCAGTTATTCTACAAGATAACCTACCAGTAGCATATGCCTCAAAAAGTGCTACAGCTAATCAAAAAATGTGGGCTCAACTTTTATTCAAATAAATGACTAGGTTTATTGAAACCACGAAACTTGACCAAACCAGTAGGTACTTGACATGGAATGTCATACAACAGAGTAGTCACCTTCATAGAAAAGACAATTAATACATAATAATAATAATAACCTATTCATGACATCCCTATTTTTCTACAAAACAAAATGTGACTAATATTTTAAGTTCAAGAAACAAAATCATTCAAATATGTAGGGGCTTTTACAATACTACCAGACCTTAAAGTGTTAGATTTTTCTGCTTCCGATAGCCTCATATCAGTTACATTAGTATTTTTCTCTTGTTTGTCATTTAAAAAAACAACATTTTCCTGAATACTTTCCCTAGTTTTTGATGTACTTTGTTTATGTAACTCATCAGAATCTAGTTGCAAATCAGTTTCCAGCTTTTCATGAGCAGATGCACTATAAATATTAAAACGATTTCCCCCAACAACATTTCCACTAGAAAGTATCAACCTATAACTAGGTCTATCTGCTTTACCAACAACTTTTGCAGGCGTCATATTATCAACATTATATTTAGGAGTCTGCTATCAAGCAAATTTAAGATTCAACAAGCAATATCAACATAGTGTGAATAGAGCATTTAATTCGTTCGGTTTTGTCATACGTAACAGTAGAAATTTTAATATTACCAAAATCATTGAACTGTATAATTATCTTGTACGTCCACATTTAGAATATGCATCTATTGTGTGGGCACTTAAAACTGTTGTAAGCATTGACTTAATAGAAAAAGTCCAGAAGAGATTTTTAAGATTTTTGTATGTGAAACAGAATAATATCTAATGAAACTTATAGATTGGAAACTTTAGAAAACAGAAGAAACATACAAACTGTGATATTTATAGATATATTCTATGATATATTGTAACGTTTTTAATTACTTTGGATTAAAAAGATGTTATTGCTTACGGCAGCTGTTTATCGAAAAGCATTTATGGTCGTGTTTAAGGAGAGTTTGCTGTGTATATATTATATATATATTATATATATATTATGTATGAAAAAGAAATAATACAACAACGCTCTCCGCTTAATTATGTTCAATAAAAATTTAATAAAAAATTACAAAATCTGGTATGTCAATTCAATGTGAATCATAAATATAGGTAATTAGATTCCAGCCCAGTACTACACTTAACTAAATATTATTATGTAAAATAATAATAATGATCGATTATTTTATTTAAATTAGGACCCTTTTTACTGGTCTATCTGCCCTTGAAACTCATATGCTCAACCGGACAGCAAACTGAACATAGAAATGGGTCATTCCATTTATTACGGAATGCTCAACAAAAAGTATACAATATAAAATGACTTCGTAGAGTCTTCTGGTCTGACAATTCACATGCTGAGCCGAACAGCGAACTCAACATGGAAATGAGACATTCCAATTGGGTAATGCTCAATAATAGTATATTGTTGTATTAGGAGTAGAAGCTTTACTTTTTTGTGCTGGAGCAGTAAGTTTGCGAGCCAAACGTAGTGAGGCTTGCAACGCTGCTGAAGCACAAAAAAGTGCTTCTACTCCGTATGCAACACGCTATTTTTTCTCGAAACAAATGGGGTAAGCTCGGGTTAACTGAATGGTTAAGCGGCAGTAAAAGTACGAGCGGCACTAAAAGTACTTTTGCTGCCGCTCCAGCGGCACTAAAAGTACATTTGCTGCCGCTGGGGTTGCCAAGCAGCATAGAAATTAAATTTCTACCACCTCGACAGGTGTTAACCTGCTCGATTTGTCTACCAGCATAGAAATTGAATTTCTGACATCTTGACAGAGGTTAACAAAGTGGCGTTTTTTTGACGTTTGGAGAAAAAAATATATAAAATGAAAGGTAAAATTTAAACTTAACGAAACCTGTGGTCACTACTTCCAATTCGAGGTGTCATCAGGGACTATAGGCACTAACCATCAAAGACCATGAAAATGACTCCATAAGTAAGGACACAGGAACCTTAGGGAAGTATGCCGTCCTTATTGAACTGGCCCAAAACCAGGCCTGGATATAGGAGTAGGACTAGGACCCTATCAGAAAATTCAATTACTGATAGTCTCTATTTATATGAAGAAGGGTGAAATAGACAACAAACTTGTCTTTTAAGGTTATAATAAGATACAAAGTACATGACTCGCCCTTAACAAGGGGTTCCTATACCATGATTTGGTACGCGATACAGGTACTGGCATCACCCACCTGAATGAAAGTAGTACTAACATAAAAATCAGGTTCACTCCTCATTGCAAGTATATTTGCTTTAAATGCATTACAATAATTAATATACAATATTAATTATTGTAATGCATTTAAAACATTTTGACATCTGTCAAAACCATGCCAAACCGCAGCATTCATCTTTCCCAGTTTTCAATATTTTATGATGTTATTTGTTATTTTTAACTTGTATGTAAATTCTGAATTCAAAAATTGAAAAAAAAAAATGACAGAACTGTCAAAATGACATCATTGCAGATTTCATTTGTGAGTGCCAAAATGTTTGAGTACTTTAATGATTTCATTATAGTACTGACTTTTATGATGATTTCATTAAAGTACTCAAAAAAAATCGCCGGTATATAATAGTATATTATATACCTAGGTAGAGAAGTTGGTCATTATATACCGAGCACTTTTATAAACCGAGACGCGTAGCGCCGAGGTTTATAATGCGTGAGGTATATAATGACTTTCTCTACCGAGGAATATATAGAATTTTTTTCACTACTGCTAGTAGGAAAAAAAAAATTTGTTTAAAATTTGTGCTCTAATAATTTTTTTTGAACGCCCTCTTGAAAGTGCTGCTCTCTATCAACAGCTTATGATAACTTCTTATGTACCTACAGAAACCTGTAATTTTTTTTTTGAACTGACTTATGAAATTGAAATTGAACCAATAGAAACATGACAATATCCTTGCGTCATGACGTCATTTTCATTATTGACCTAGTTATTTTTTCATTATTTTCATTATTCACCTAGAGAGAGAAATTCAATTTTTTCCGAGAAAAATAGATTGAATAATGACTACTTCTCAGGTTAGTAGTAAAAAAAATCCTTTATACTAAAACTACGTACTTTCAATTGAAAATTGACATCTCTGTCAAAATCTGATACCGGCG